CCCTTCTCAAAAGAAATAAAGATTATTCCACAGCTTTAGTCAAACATTAAACATTTTATTAAAAACAAAGATATTTAGGTCTCTTAAAGCAGACTTTCAAAATCGTAGATTAGTCGCTTGTGAAATGGACAAGCATTCTATAATATAGTATTCTAACAATGGAACACCAGCTTGGGAAGTCTACACAAAGGAATGCCTGTAGATCCCTCAGCTGAAGACATACTTTCCTTCTTTGTGTAAAACAGTAACAATTAGGAAGCAAGTCAAAAGGGGATCCTTTTTAGATTATTTTACAAAATAAAATGGCAAAAGCAATATCCCCCCAAGGAAATGAGACTCAACAAAAACCTAGCCTATATTCATACTGTGCTGTTTTTTTTAAAAAATTCATCTAAATATAATTTAACCTGAATCTAAACTAAAGCAAAAGAAAAATTAATATTCTAACATACAGACATATAGAAAAAATGAACACAGAGATAAATGATGACCTCAAAGAACACATTTTTCACAGCAAATACTTCATTTACTTAATAAAACAAACACTTCTGTACCAGCATATACATTCAATGACATTGGTGTAGTTATGCTACACAAATAAGTAACTTATCTTTAGCATTGCTGAGAGATGTAGCAAACATGCAGGTACATTCAAAATTAAACTTAAAAAGATGTACAACCCCAAATAACTGTGGGAAAGATATTGGCACAGATAACACAAGCACAACTTTGGGCATTGCTAAGTCTAAATGTTCATCATGAAATTCTCCAGTTCTGCCTTGTTTTATTTCTGTCATTTATGTGTTTTATTCTATTATTATTCACTTAGCAAGTTTATAAAATTTTGGCCTTCTTGTAGCTAGATTGAACCTTTAAAATCCTTGTACATTTGAGTTTAGGGAGTTCTTTGCAGCAAATGCCAGAATAACAATTTCATAATGTTATTCTAATGCAGATAATGTAACTTCACTATGGTAGAATTGCCCAGAGTTTTAGATCCCCAAATTAGTTTTTGGTTGGTTGCTTTAATGTATCCTTTTTGCCTTTTTTTCCCCAGTCAAAGCATTTTTTCTTTCTATTTAAATCTTCCTTAAATAGATTACTGTCCCATGTGATGTAAATTGTTTTATACCATTACCAGTGATGATACTGTTTTTTTTTTTTTGTCTTTCTGCAGTTCATAAGAGTCAGCAGGAGAAATGAATTTTCAAATAATTGTACCTTAAGTAAATTGAGCAACTCTGTTTAATGACCTATTGCAAGTGGATAAAATATGATAACATTTTGATACACAGAAAACAACTGAATTCCAGTAGCATTAATGTAATACAATATTGGCATTACACTAATATAAAAAATTTAAAATTAATTTTAATTAATTTAATTAATTTTTAACCCAACATATTTGCAAATATAAAATACCCGGAAGTGTATAGGCATATCAAATTTTAGAAGCAGAAAACACATGTGCAATTTTAACTTTTCTTGACTCATTTTATAAATTTATTTCTAAATGAATGACCACTGTTTGTAAGATACCTATGATATGAGAAAATCCACAATTGTTCTTTATGAAATAAAAGAATATATGTTTTTTTAAAAATGTATCGATGACCATATATTTCACGATCAATAAAGGCAGGCTGAGACCATCTGTAATAAGATTGTTTTATATCTACTCCACATATGTAACTTTATTTTATTTTTAGTAAGAAGATGACCTCTTTGGGTTTTGCCTATTTTATTTGAGAAGGATAAACAAGATAATTTTCTGGAAGAATTTTAAAAAGCAAAACACAGCTTGGTCCTTTGGTGTGGAAACTGAATAGCAGTCAGTGCTTTTATTTAACAGATGGAAAACCTGAAACTGATGAGTCCCAAGATTACAGGTCCAGTCAGTGGCCAGCTAGAATAGAGTTCTGGTCTACTGTGCACTAGATGATACCTTTCACAGAATGCCAAATTGCCCCTACCTGCCAAGCTAGGCTACCTTTTAGTTTGTGCATGTATTATCTACATATTGACTAGTATTAATAAATAACATCTGAAAAAAAATATATCTCATAGAAAAAAGCAGGATGAAGTCATTTTCAGCCATCAGTGCTAAAAGACCTGAGGAAGCAAACATAATCTGGTCAGTCAGAGGTTTTACAAGAAGGCTGACATTTCAAATGCCTTCCTCCAATAGGACTAGGACAATTTTTCTTCCTCTATTTTGGAAAGGCAGAATATATGAGTAGCCACACACACCTCACATTTTTGGGAAATCAGAAATTATTTTACAAAAGGATTTAAAATATCTAAAACTCCCAGAAGTTCAACCTTTAACCCCCAGGGTTGTTGACACCAGGAAGGTTGCTACCATCCTTTCCACTGTTTCCTGGCCGTGGAGGATCAGATCCGTGGCATTAGTCAGCAGTTTCTGAATCTTGACCCACAATGGGAAAGATACCCCAAGACAGGAGAAATAGATGGAGGCAATTACAAACAGCTACTTGATTGATGGTTGACATTGTCAGGGCTCCACTGTATGGCAGATTGCAATGGTGTTGAACTCCCCTTGCTACCAGTGGATGTTGCTATTGGCAACCGTGCAGTGAAGCCAATAAAAAGGCAAGAAAATGAGAGGAAAACTCAACCTTAGTGGAAACCGTAAGGTTTGTGCTATAAATTATGTTCCCCTTAGCGATATGCAGCATCAGTGTTCAGGGTAACTACAGTGCTTGTAGCTGCCTGCATTCTCTGACAGACCCTGGGTTAGTGCTTTAAAATTTTGCTTTAGATGGTCTGGCATCCCTTTGTCTGGGCCATTTATTTATTTATTTATTGTTGGGGAGGATAACAGATGTGGACTCATCTCTGCCTCACATGGACTGATTTTCAATTCCCATTTGTGATATTAACATGATGTGGCACAATACCCAGAAACACCTGCAGTGCTCGTGAGCTGCAGACACATGATGATCTCACAGACCAGGGTCTATTCGTAACTCCACCCATCCTTTGTTCATCACCTGAAGGAAGAGAGACAGCCCTGCAGAAGCTATTTTCCTTTATAGCAGAGTGATTCAGAAAACTGGCTTAATAAAATCCATAAATCTGAACAACCTCCTCTTACCTGCTCTGCAGAGGCAATTTTTCCTGCACTCATTTTCTCCTCTAGTTTCTCCAGTCTTCCCTGCAGAGACAGCTGTAAAGCGTAGCTAGGAACATTATTTTTTAGTGCTCCCACTCCTTCCTTCTCTCCTTTGTCAAACCCCTCCCTGCTCAATTGTCTCTCTTTCCTAAGCAATTGATGACAGGATTCTACATCCTCATTTTTTTGGTTGGAGGTGCCATTTTTCTTTGTTTGGATTGACTTTCACCTTTCCTTTGGCAGTACCCTTAAAACTACCTGCTTCATTCCTATCTTTCCTTTATGGCTCTTCTTATTTTCCTTCTTCTTCCTTTTTCCCTCCTCCTTGCTAGGCTCATAATTTTCTTTTACTTTGTTTCTTGCCATAACAAATCTCATTTCCTATTTATGATTACCTGCTCCTTCTCACTTCTGTTTTTGTCCCCTCATTTTACTCATTCCTTTAACATTTCCCAGAAGACTCCTTTGTGCCAGAAAAACAATGTCCCTTGTGGAACATGGCCCCTATTTCTTTAAGAATTGAGTAGTAACATTAATAACTGATATTGATCAGTAAAAGTAAGAACAAAAATGTGTGGTGAATTTTAGATTTTTTTCAGAGCTGGAATGAATCTCAGGTTTCATCTAGTCCAGGGATGTTCCCAAGTCGTTAGGGTCCCTTTGTGGACTTCTGTATATGTGATCAAAGAGTGAAGATTTGTAGGTCTCTGAATCCCCAAACCCTGCTTCAGACAGAGGACTTTATCTTTTGATGTCTAATATCTTAGTAGTCCTTGAAAGATTCATTTGAACAAAGTTGTAAGGTTAAGATATGTCTGAAAATCATTTCCCAGTGTGATCTCATTTGACAAATGAGGAAACAAGGTCAGAAAAGTTTAGCCACTTATCCAGAGTTGTCTAGTCAATAGTGCCAAAGCTGTGGTTAGAAGCCATTCTTCTAGCTTCATGCTTTTTGAATAAGACATACCATGTCCTCAATCTCAGGTACAATGAGCAGCAAATCAGCTTTTTAGTCATTGTATCTATTGACAGTTTATTCTTATCCATTTTAAACCTAGTTTCCTACAAATTATGTGTTTTCTTAAACATTCAAGTGTTATTTCTTGATTGATTACTTATAGTAACCTTAAATTTTATATCAAAACTCATCACTGGGAGAACTCAAGCCAGTCAATACTCTTTGTGGCTCTACTGTGTCCTGTAAAAAATGTCTCTCACTATTGGAAATAGTTTCTAGATGTTCATATGTCACTTGTAGTAAATTTGGCTATAGACTTCCTCTCATCTTTGCTTTAATTAAAGTCGGTTAATCCCTTCTTCCTGTGAGGAAAGAAGACTTGTTTACAATGAAGTCTGATTTTAAAACTCTAAAAATGAACCATGATCTCAATGTAGAGTTACAGATTTTGTATAAACTCCAATCAACAAACATATTTGCTATGTTCCTACTATGGACCCTTTAGGGGGAAAACTGGGTTTGGTTGGTATTTATAGGTTATCTGTTCTAAAGGCTCTAGTCCATCATTAAGAACCTATGTGTTTAAAAATAAGATACCTCTATAGAATACAAATCTGGATACTTGGGTCAGTCTGACACAATAGCTTGCTTGGAGAGAGGCTGCAAAGACAGAGCATTTGGCTTGTAACCAACAGAAGAGCACATACAAAACTAAGCAGTGCTGACACTTTCACTGTTCAAACTAAGCAGCGCTGACACTTTCACCTTTCTGTGCTGACTGTCCCAGGTCCCTGGATCCAAACCAGTCTTCGGCCCACAGCCTTTATTTCAGCCCATGTTGTTCATCAGGGGAAGGTAAGGGTCCAGGCTCTCTGCCCCACCTCCTCCTTTGTCCTCCTGTCACTCTGCTACTGATCACACTTCAAGGTGAAAAAGTCCAGGCATGCTTCCCAGCACATCCAGAGTCTTTAGGTCTGTCTGAGCTAAAGGAATAAAAGGATGATGTGGCTGGACTGAAGCTGATTCTTCAGGCTGCAGTCATTTTGCAGCAGCTCTGGGAGGATAGAGCTTTAGTTTCTGTCCTCCTCAGCCACCATGGGGCTGGCAGGGGTAGGTGAGGCAGCTGAGACCAGCAGTCTTTTCTGATGCATTTCTTCCCACTTACTTCGGTTTGCAGCCACTGAATCTAGCATGGGCTTCAGTTTCACATTGACCTTCACCAAAGCCTAAAATGAAACAGAAAACAAGTAGGGAGAAAGGAACTGAAGTCACTCATAGGATTTTCTACCTTTCATTTATAAGAGAATGGAAACTGGCTGTAAGAAATAAAAATAATTATTTTGGTAAACATAAACTAGTTACAAGGAATAATGCATTTAATACCATTATGTTGTATTAATCGAGCCTATGCAGAGAATGAGAAAATAAGACAGGACGGCTGTGCACAACTGCAGAGGGAGCCAGTCTCACAGACTCCCATTCTATTTTATAACAACATCAAGCAAGACAGGAAGCAAAATATCCAGCTACTCATATGTGGATCTTTGCCAGAGAGGGTTCCACATCTCAATAGACTGTGAACTTAAATTTTTACAAAAAGAAACCTATAATTGTATTGCCACAAATGTCCTCCCCCGGGGAGGGTAGGGGACTTTTCCGAGTAAAATAGTCCACACAGAATCCTGAGGCTAGAGGAGGGGCTCATTTTTAAAGCTAAAAGATCTGGGAGCTAAATACAAAGATCAGAGTGGGAACTTATATGGAAACAGATATGACAGAAAGGGAAAAGATCGTGGAGAAGAGAAGCAGAGGGCTGTTAGATGAGGGGAGGGGAAATGTGGGGTGCATATGACCGGAAGCAGAGGGCTGATGAAGCTCAGGCTGCGGAGTCCTCACTGGCTCCACACCCTTTTAACTACAGTAGGATTTAACTTTGTGTATTTATTTATTTACTTATTTTTAACAAAAGAGAGGAACTCTGGGATCGTTTAACCTTCTGTACTCTCAAACCCTTCGGGGAATGAGGACTTAGCAGAAGCCTGCTGCTTTGACTTTAATACGCATGCGTCATTCTGCAGGTCCTGGGGTCCTGTGGGGGTGGGCCTGAGGATGCCTCTTAAGTAGGGCTAGAACAAATTCAGGAAACAATAGGCAAATATCTTACAGGTCAGAGGAGAAAAGAGTTCACTCTGCCCAGCAGGAAAATTCTATTGTTCTCTGCCTGATTTTTTTTTAAGCAAAAGATGAATTTAAAAAGTCTCTAAAGTTTCTTTTCCTACTTTTAAATGTATGACTATACTTCAAACTTCTTACTTTTTACTAATAAAGGTTTCAAGCATATTCAAACAGCAAAATATGATTAGCAGAAGCATCTACATGTGAATAAGTATGAATAATAAATATAAGTAAAACCACCCACGTAAAACATACAACAAAGGGTTTGGGACACTTTATACTTTTTGGACAGTCTAATAAAAAAGAAAACAAGATTTGGATGACATTTAATCTTTTAAAATTATGGCCTTGATCTTTTTAAAGCATGAATGTTTTGTTGTTGTTTTAAAATTAGTGTTTTTCTTCTCCTTTGTAGTTATTTATGCATTTTTCAAGTAATGTGTTAATATTAGAAAATGCCAAAACATAGGTTTAAAAGAAATAGGCAAGAGTAATAATTTGTAATCCTATAACTCAAGAGATAATCAGTACCAACACTTGGGTTTTGTTTCGATTGGGATCCCTCTTGTATTTCCTAACTGGACAAATTATTTAAACATCAAAAAATATAGTCACAAGGTGGTGTTTTTATAATAGCAGTTCACAAATGGTCAGAATATAAGAGAATCTATGGACATTTAAGCACTTGTACTTCTTTGGGCTATTTTTCCATCTCCACGGTCTCAAAGAAGTACATAAACCTGGCATACCCACATGGATATGGTGGATCTTCCAGTTATGAACATCTACTATGTGTGAGATACATTGCCAGCGCTGGATGCAATTCATTTTAGATATTCCTCACAATGACTCTGCTCTTTACAAATGATAAAATATGTCCCCCATATGCTAGGATCACAAATGAAATTTAATCCTTACACTCTAGGACAAAGATAAGAATCTGTATAAGTAGTTAAGGTTTCCTTTTGTAATCTTCCCATGTATTTTGAAAACTATGGAGAATGTCATTGTTTTTCTCCACTAAAAGTCAAGGCTATTGCAGTAGCCTGTTACATCATTGATTATATAGCGAAAACTGTTGAAGATGAAGCATTAGAAAGATAGCTCTTAAAAAGTAAAGAGAAAAGAGAAAGAATCAGGTACACATCTTGAAGTTATGGCCTCATCCTTTGTCAATACCCAATTCAAACTGGTTAATAGTTTTGTTATTCACCAGTTTTCAGAGTCTGTGATGGTGAGGAAATACTGAAGGCATAAACTTCTGAGGACGCTCTAAATATGATTGTCATTGTCATCAAATTGGGGCAAGGCCAGACACCAGGAACTCCTTTTCTTTTTTTCTACTTCCACATCCCATTCGTTCATTCCTTCCTTCCTTCCTATTATCCATCAATTCTATCAACTACCTTCTTGGTTAGGTATAGAACACTCATGAATTCTGACACTGTTCTTTGAATGGACTCTTTATGTCACTTGGGGTCTCCCTGTCCCTTGAGAATTAGGTAAAACTTCACTTCAAATCTATGTCATGTTCTGGCAACCTTTTAGAATCCTCATGATTTCCAAGTCCTACTTCCACGGGCTCTTTGATTTCCTTTTTTGAGTCCATTTCACATTCTTGACTCCACTCTGCATCATTCCCAATGTGAAGTTCCATTTCATAGGAAATCAAATCACCCTCAACATTTTGGATGCCTACTAACTCTGCTCCATAGTAGAGATTGTCAGAGGGGAAGTGACTTACCCACCTACCATCACTCACATGCTCCTCCCTGTCTTTCTCTCTATGGAACAAGTAATCTAGTTTTCTCCCCAGTCCTACCTCACTGCTTTCATACAGACCAGTCTGTCAGCCAGTCAGTTTTGTCCAGATTCTCTGGAATCCTGATGAATTAAAGTTTCTCTCTCAAAATATAGTTAGAATTCTTTTTCCTATAAAGCAATTAATAAAAGAAGGAGCATGGGGCTGTGGGAGTATTATCCATTGGAAAGGTGATGCTCTCATACTCTGCCTTGGACCAGTCAACTTTTTTTGTCCTGTGACCATAGGTTATACCCATTATTCCCATGAGACACCTTGCAGGTGAATCCCATTCATTCCACAGGAGACAAAACATGAGCACAGAATCACACCACTGTGATTTCGGCATATCTCCTGATAAGCTTTCTCTGGTTAGGGAGTGGTCAATAGCAACAGCCTCCAGAAGGAAACAGCTTTTCATGTTGAGGGTGGTGAGTGTAGTCCCTCCATGCACAATTGTACACCATGTGTTCATGAACTTGATTCATTCCCTCAAATAGCCCTCTGCTCCAAGGAGTTACAGGGACACAAGTAAAATTTAGCTGGACATAAGAGAGTGGATTTCCAGAAATAATCAGTTACCCTAATGAAGAGTGGGTGTTCCATCCTGGTTAAGGTGGCAACTCTCTGCACATCAATGCAGAGAATTCTGTGTGTGTGCATCACACTAAGAAAAACCATCTAATTTTAAATCAGATATACCATCTTGTGGATGGTATATTCACATGATGATAAAACAAGGCAACATAGTAATTCATGCAGTAATCAAATTCCTTTCATTTCCATGAGAAAAATGCAGATGCCTGCTTCCCACTCAACACACAGTGTTTTTATTTAGATGAGAGTGTGAGGTAGCAATGATCGCCATGGTTTTATTTAGTGTGGTTTGGCACCAGCTCCTCTTTACTCTGATCAAGCCTTTTAATTAAACTGACTACTATAATTCCTATGGAAATTAGTGTTTATGTTATTTTCCTGCTACAAAAGCATTTCTCTAGAACTTATTTTTTTTTTAATCCCAGGAGCACAAATTGGAATTTTTTTCTGCTTGAAATGTAATTAAAAACTCATTTGATTACAATATTTCTGGCTCTGTTTTACTTATTAAATTCCTGTAATCAGTTTTCTTTTATGAAGCTGCTGGGAAATGATCTCAAAAGCAACACATTTTTCTCTTCCTTGGCAGGTTCCCGAGCATTTACTAAATTACATTCATAGCACCTGCCCATGATTCGAATTACTCCACCAATTTATTCCTTAAACCATTTAAGTTTATTTGGCTTAGCCCCAAACAGCTTTCTTTCCTTTATCCTGTTCTTTGTTCTCCCTCTTGCTTCCTTTGTGTTGAATAAAATATTGGAGCGGGGTGGGCAGGTTACATCTTTCTCAGAATTCCTTCTTTCTCTTTGTTTCCTATTCTCCTGAAACAGATTTGTCACACCAGAAGACCATTTTCCTCTGGCCAGGTGCTGGTTATAAGCAAAGGGAGAAAGATTCCTATCTTGAGGAATTACTCTTATACTATAAATTTGTTGCATAAATGCAGTTAGCTAAGGGAATACGGAACTATTAGGATATCAGTAAAGCAAATGATTATCCACAAACCTAAATTCCAGGACTTACAGCGATTACCTGAAAAGCACCATCAGCAAGAAAACTGGGCATTCCTGAAAGCTTGCCATCAGTGAGTGACACCTAATGGGTTCTGTGAGGATGCTACTGATGTCTGTCTAGTTTGACTTGCTTCTCACTTGCTGAGAGAGAAAGGGGGAAACATCACCCATTGGATCACTGTCCATAAGTACCAGAGGAACTCTAAAGGCTAGTATGTGGCTACATAGGCCACAGGGTACCTGACATCTTCTGTGGCATCCCTGCTGTGTGATCTTTTGGCTACTATTTGACCATGTGGAGGTAGTGAGTACACTACCTCCCAAGGATGGTACGCTTTTTTTGTCCTGATTTTAGAATATTGTTCTTTATGCTGAGCTGAACTCTTCCTCCCTATAGTTTCTACTTAGTGGTTCTAATCCCTGGGATGCTGTCCCTTGAAATCTGACTTCTCTAGCAGTGCAGGAGTGGTGACTCCTAAGTGGCTCCAAGTGTTAAGTGAATGAGGGGTGGGCCTCAAATCCTACTCAGTATGCTCAGCTTCTCCCTTGGGGCAACCTTATGATATCATGGGGGCTTGTGGCCCATTACAGAGAGGACCTTGGATACTTGCCCCACTCCATCTTTTATCGCTGTTTT